AAACACACACACACACACACATACATACACACACACACACAAACTCACACACACACACACACACAAACACGTCCATGCACAGACATACGTACATTCTTGTACATAAACACATCCATTATCAAGAGTTTGCCAGAAGTTCCCAACTTACTTCCAACTGCTAGAAGTCACAATTTGCTGCTTTACGGCTATTAGTCACAATTCACTGCCTTCCAAATTCTTAATTGCTTCCACTCTATAGAGTCTTGAGACTCACAAAAACCACTACTTTATACTTTCCTGCTTTTTTTCCTTAAACTTTCTAAAACAAAATCTTTTTTCCTGCATTGTGATATGCAACCCATTGGAGCACCTCTCAAAAAATTAGAAAATGCTCATTTTCAAGAGAAAACATAATATTGATTGGACCAACAGTAAAGACACTGTCGTCAAAACTGTAAACAGCAAAGAAAGAAATGGAAAGAAAATATTTGAAGCAGCATTCACTATTTAAGTAATCTCAGGATTTTAAAATAACCACAACAAGATTCTTCTTTTCAAAGTTTTAGTAAGAGTTTTACAGCACTCACAACAGAAATAGTTTAAATAACTGCCAAATATTTGAGGTATTACGAGAGAGTAATACACAAAGAAAATAAGGAGGAAAGATAAGGACAATAGATATTTAATAGGAAAGAAGAATCAAACCACAGGAGAGCACCCACCAGCAAACAACCTTCATTTTTTAGTTATTTGTGAAAAGGGTAGGTATGATGAACCAAGAGAGCAGAAGGTCAGTATGTCACGGTCAAATCTGTTCCTTCGTTATGGACAGAGAAATCTGAAACATGGACTTACGTGCTTGGGGACATTTCTTCTTGATCACCACAATGTCATCTATGGCAATGTCTCCTTTGATGCCACTGCCAACTATTCCCTCAAAGGCAAGACGGGCGTTAGCACTCTGGACAATGGTAGAAAGAAAAATGGACAGGTAAATATTTTTAAAAAACAAAAATTGTAAAAATAAAACATGTTATAGGAGGAGTGGATGAGGAGAAAATGAAGAAGGAAACAAAAACTGAAGAGGAGGAAGAAAACGAGAAGAAGAAAAAGAAGAGAAAAAGAAGAAGAAAAAGGGAGAAAATAGTGGGAGAGGAAGAGAAGAAGAATGAGGGAAAAGGAAGAAAAAGAAGACAAAGAAGATGATGATGATGAGAAGAAGAAAAAGATGATGAGAAAAAGAAAAATAGAAAAAGAGCAGAAGGCAGACAAGGAGGAGGAGAAAGAGAGAGAGAGAATATTAGCAATACAACAATAGCAAAAACAATGGCAACAATAGCATCATCAACAACAACAGCAACAACAGCAACAACAACACCATCCAAGGAGATGGAGACCTTGGTGAGACGCATCCTTCTCAGGGTCACGAAACGGCGCAACAGTTGAATTACTGACTCCATTTTCACCGAAACCTGTCAGCCACTCACACACACACACACACACACACACACACACAC